GGACATCAAAATAGACATTTATACACCATTCGATAGAGAATTGGAAGGGCTATTTTTTGCAGTATTTATATTTGGTAAATAAGAGAATCGACTTTTTCGCCTAATGTCCGCTTGGATGCCCACTGTGGATGAATGGCTTGTTTTAATGTATCATGACAACATTGTGAGATTTTTCTTCTAAATTAATTAAAGTTTGTAGATGATCACGTCTAACTTGTTCAGGTGTATTTAAATTTAATGACATTAAATTGACTTTATATTGTGTTATTGTTTTAGAATAATAAGATATTAAACCAGCACGTCGATCTTTATTAAGAGCAGAATTTTGCAACATTGGTTGAATATGATCCATAGATTGATCAATAATTTTATTGATTTTACTTGGTATTTGTTTTAAATAAATTCGTTGGCGAAGTTTTTCTATTTGTTCAGTTTCGTAGTTCATTGGCTACTATTTGCCAATATTTTTTTGTCAAACTTATCTGAAATTACAAAATACATATATATGGAAAAAAAATTAATACTTTTTATATTTGAAAAGCAAATCTGTTCTGAATTTGGTTGTAAATTATAAAATTTGATGATAGCACGTCGATCATGAAGATCGAATTCGACAATTTCGCCTCTATAGATAAATTGTTGTTTTAAATGTTGTTGAGCTTTTTTTACACATTCAATAACTATATATTTTAAACGTTGAAAATCAATAGATGGTTGCCATTATTCGACATTTGTTTGTAAATTAATTAAATATTCTTGTAATTCATTGTTTGTACGTTGTTTTTGATGTGCAATCGTTTTTTGACGTTGTTCAACTAGTTGTTTAGGAAAAAAATAAGTTTGATATCTATTTGATTGGTTCATATTAGAATCAGTTGCTTCTGTGATTCATATGTTTTCTTTGATACCAACATTATAATAAGTTTGCCATAAATCTTCTTGCAAATTAAAATAATCTAAATTATTTATTGGTTCCATCATTTGACGAATAGCTTCTATTTTTTCATCTGTATATAAAGTTTTATCTGTTATAGTAGTTAATTTTTTCTTTTTGAGATTTTGTTGTGATATGGATAATTGACTGAATATGTGTATTATCTTGATATAAATCTTGACGTTTACGTTTACTATTATTTTTTAATCTCTGTTTATATTGCATATTTGAGGGTTGATTCTAAATAGAAGAAAGAGGTTCATATAAAAAAAAAATGGTTGTAGATTTTTATTCCAGAGACATGATGAACATACTTGATCTAGATGCCGAAGAAAACTGAAAATAAAATTGAAGATTGTTTGCTTGTACGAGTGAAATGTATTATATTGTTTAAAGACGCACACAAAAAACATGGAGTGGTTGCAATATCTCTGATCGGGCAAAATATTTTTGATTAGACTTTTACCATAGAGTATATACAGATATTATTGGGAAGATTTGGTGTTTGTTTGATTTCAAATACTTGAGTTATAGAGATTTTAATCTTTTTTTTTCTCATTTTGAGCCCGTGTGTTGTGTTTTCTATTAACAAAACTAACTTTATTATGGAGAAATTAACACTGTTTTATGCAGAACTTAATAAAAAATTCATTGGTGAAAAGCATTTTCTGATACTTACTTTCGCTGTTGAGTTAAACCGTTTTTGGTTGAAACTACTTTTTATTGGAGAGCCGGTACACCAACTACTTCTTAACGTATTGGCTTTAAAAATTATTAATGGAGGAAGCACTTGACCTCCAGCACTTATATAAAATAATACTGTTGTATTTTGTTTCGCAGTGCCGCCATGAATCCTATAGGCAGGATGTCGTTTACTGTTTCGCACAATAACACGTTTTTTGCCGGGATTGTCAAGGAATCCTAGATAAATATTAAATTATTGTACAGAACCAGTTCTAAAGTCCACTTGTAACGTGGAGACAATTGTGCATAATTTACGCTAAGCAATCGTCTAATTATAACTTAAAATACGAATGGAAAATGAGAAACACTTTTATGGGTAAATCCCGTGTGTTTTGCACGGACTGTTCTAATTACCCCACCCATTTACACGTACTGCTCTAATTTCTCCCATACGGGGAATTGGACCACAAAAAAGTTTTACTAGCCGCTTTTTAAATAGAGCTAGCATCGTCAAATATTATCCGTCTGCGATCTAATCCATATCAGACGATAGAGCTGACGAGAAAACCGCCCCAGGTGCCCAACTCCGATTTCCTTCATTCATACCTCGTTTTATAGAGCACATCGAGCTTGTAAAAAGTCTAAAAGGATTTTAGCGCATGGCTCGTGAAGTCTCGGTTTTCTGCAAAACCAGTTTTTGAGAAATTCTAAAAAACAATCAAAACCTTTCATAATGAGGCATAATTATAGCCCGCACATTGCTGATTAAAATGAGACGTCTCCCAGCTTCACACGACCTTTCTTTACAAAGTTACAGAATTTACAAGAAAAGCCCTAAATGTTCATTGTCAGGTCAAAGCTGTAGAAATAAGAAGAAATTAATTTAGGACTTTTCTTGTGAATTCTATTTAATTCCAAAAGAGATAATAAGTTTAATTAGTAATCAAGAACGAAAATAAAGTTAAATAATTGCGTTTTCAAAAGAGAATGGGTATACCACCACGCCACCAGATCGACCCTACAACAGATAGAGAACAACACTTAAAAGAGCGTAAAACTTTGACTTTATAGATTGCTTACGAAAATAGCACGTTCCTCTTTATACACTTGTGGCATTGGATGACCAGGATCTTCTTCAATTTTACGTTTCATGCCACGAATAACACTTTTAGTTTCTTCATCAGTCTTAACCATACGATTATGAAGACTACTTGTACGAATAACGTTGTTGTTGCTATCAACTGTTATGTATGCTGAACATTTGTTTATTGTACATTTAAATAAAACAGTTAAATCTTTATTTTCATGAAGTTTACGAAAATGAAAATCTTGTAATACAGCGCAAGAAATTTCTTGCTGTGTAGTAGACATTATAACTTTTACCAAATTCATTTTTGTTTGACAGTGGAAAATGACATGCTTTGCTATTTACCGATTCCATATTTATATAATTGTCGTTTGCACACTGTACTTAATGATTCTGCTCGTATCGTCCCGTTTCGTCGACTAATTAATTTTTTTCCTGTCTCGCCGACAACATTGGGGCGGTGAGATGAAAGATGGCTGTGAGCCGCCGACACTATAAAGTGTCGATGAAAGGGGACTGATCATTCTGCTTGATTGTTTCGTTCTTGATTATTAATTAAATTTATTATCTCTTTTGAAATTACAAAAATTTCACATTTTTCGTTCTTTTAGGAATACAACTTATTATCTCTTTTGGGGCTAAGCGTCATCAGGACAGCGCAAAAGAGATGTCCTTTATACAATGCATATCCGTGACATATCAGTTGTCTATAATCGGTCATAGCCATACATCAAGCAATAAAACAATTTTTGTATACAGAAGCTAGCCGGTCAGTGCTACTCAATGTCACATGTTTCAAGACGGAACTATAAAAGTTACAGATCTAACATTTTCATCACACTTATAGAAATTTAGAAAGTATAATCAGCTTTACAAACAAATACTCTCCTATATAAAGCCAAAGTAGACTTATACTGTTTTACTACATTCTGACGTCTCTGCTCGAACGTCACTTCAGTCAGTACATGGAGTTTATCGAGTCTCTTCTTTCCAGTCCGAGTCATTGAATAATGCTATTGCTGTCAACAATCTCTAGCTTCCGCAGCTTTGCTTTGATCTGATAACGCCCTCCTCTTGTTGTTGTACGTTGTGGCTATATGAGGATGATTTGAAGGAAGGGAAGCCGAATACATTTCACAAGCCTTGAACATTTTTATTGCCTCAGAATAATCATCTTGAGCATGGTAAACTTCGCCGAAGTTGTTGTATACTCCACCCAAATCAGGGTGATTTGAAGGAAATGAAGTCGAATAAATTTCACAAGCCTTGTTGAACATTTTTAGTGTCTCAGAATAATCACCTTGAACTTGGTAAACCTCACCAAAATTGTTGTAAACCGTAGCCAACATGGCTGTGCAATGGTGAAATTTTATCCTCAACGCCGCCAAAAGTCATCAGCCATCGATTAATGTAATTCACCATCACATTCGCCAGAATTTTGTGAAACACAACAGAATAATGGAAGAATATTGTCTGAACTCTCCCACAATTTCTCAGAGTTTTCCCAAATCCGAATTGTGCGGCGAATTGTGCGGCGTGTGGTGCTGAATTAGTCTAATTGATCATTGATGAATTTTGGCTGCGTTGAGGATAAGGTTTCACCATTGCACAGTCCTCCGATAAACTCTATGTACTGACTGAAGTGACGTTCGAGCAGAGACGTCAGAATGTAGTAAAACAGTATAAGTCTACTTTGGCTTTATATAAGAGAGTATTTGTTTGTAAAGCTAGTTATACTTTCTAAATTAGATCTGTAACTTTTATAGTTCCGTCTTGAAACATGTGACATTGAGTAGCACTGATCGGCTAGCTTCTGTATAACGTGTCTGAAAGAGTGAAGACGATAGCCTCCACGACTTTCAGATAGCCCCCAGACTGATTTTTTGGGCTGTTTGTACAAGAGCTGTATTTTCATAACAAATCAGTGTTCAGAGTCGAGACACTTTTCATTTTGTAGAGAAATGTTTAATCTATTTAATTATCTACTGTAGTTGCAACTTTAGATTAGTCTGGAGCTT